CTTCTTCTCAAGACCCAGATATGGTAGAATCAAATACTCTTCATAGATGGAAGGGTCTTAAGGTGCTTTACCAAAATTGTGAATTTCTTGACCCTGGGGTCTCATGTTTCCCCCTGGGGAGGGGGTAAACTTTACTATAGTTTATATAGGGAAATCACATTTTGGACCAACATTTGTTTAATTTCCATTGGAAGTAATTTAATTTGGGTTAGCATTATCAGTATTAGGTAGCAGTTTGGTAATAAGCACATATTAGCCCTGGCTGACCCCCCGGGACTATTGGCTGGGGCCATAAAGGGTCAAATTGACTGAAATTTCAAAAATTGTGAATTTCTTGACCCTGGGGTCTCACGTTTCCCCCTGGGGATGGGGTAAACTTTACTAGTTTATAAAGGGAAATCACATTTTGGACCAACATTTATTATGGTTTATAATGGCAATTGGTACTTTGAATATTACATGTTTATGACTTGATTGGAATTATAACCCTGAGTTGACAGTTGGATACTTTGAAAATTTTGAGCCAGCCCTACCCCCAAGGGCTAAAGGGTGGGGCCTAAAGGAGTCAGTGTGCTTAAATTTCTTCATTTTCCTTTTTGAGAATCAGAGGTGCTAGTTTCAAATACTAATTAGTCTTAAATCTGTATGTTAGATATTGAATAAGGTGGTTTTATTGTTTTTTGTCTTTGAATAATATTTCTGTTCGTGTTAAAAACAAAATCAACTCTCTGTATAAATATATCAGGTGACCGTTAAGGCCCATGGGCCTCTTGGCCATATTTGCTGTGAAGATCCCCTTAAGCTTGCTGGTAAAAGAATCTGGTGAAGGTAGTAGCTATAAATAGTCATACAGGTCTGAGACATACATTTTTGCTGTTATGCTGACCTAATGCAATACTACCAGAATTTGTAGAAAAAGAGTTGTTTCAACCAAAAGTCTGTGCATTTTCCTTGCAGGACCCCAATATATATTTGTATGTTGTATATATTTAATGTATTTGTCAGTATTTCTGCCAAATAGTTTAATTTGTATTCATTGTAATTCTGTTACAACATGAAAAGTAATACACAATATTTTGGAGAACTTGGTTACAGGCATGTTTTTATGTTGGTTACTGATCTATATAACTTGGTATGTTGTACAATTTTGGTACTTGATTGTCACGTGCACTGCAGCCTTAAAATAATATGACGTCTCCATATTTTGTGCTATGTTTTCAGGCCAAATAAATTAAAATCCAAAGTGTTTTTGAGAATGATTTTCCATCTACATGGACATGCAGTCCTTGTCAAAAACTAGAAACATTCTGTATCTGTAATTTTGAATTTTAAGAATCACAGCTAGAAAAGCTGTCAGAATTGTAATGAATGAGATAGTGCACATGTTACTTAATCCCATTCTATTTATTTTAGGAGCTAGATATATGCTGTAAAGATTTGTAGGGTACTAGTTAGTGCTTGGACACCAAAACATAGCACTGCAATAAATATATCTATTCACCAAAACAGTCATTCTTATGTCTATTCAATTAACGATTTTACAGGTATATCAATCTTGATTAAAATACAGCTCCTCTCCACTATTGTATGCTAGTAAAACGAAAGTATAATGAGGAGCTGTATTTTAATCAGATTGACAGGTATATATGCAGTGTTTTTCTACCCTAATTTTACAGTAGCTTGTAATATATACCTACATGAATATGATAAAATATAGTAATAATTTTATGAAGTTGGGAAGATATTCTTCCTTTTCCCTACATTTTGGAAAAGTACAGCTCCGTTTCTTGCCCTAACAAAATTATGCAGTCTCTTTTCGGCTGTAAAATTAGGCCAAATAAAAAAATCAAGGGCAAGTGACAGCAATTGAAATACAATGTACATGTAAATTTCATATTGTCAGTGTCATAGACCTAGTATATAGTGTTATGGGTCCTGTGATCTCATGTACATTTCTGACCTTACCACCTCAGGTGAATTTAATTGTACATGTATGCACCTATTGCTGGTGGCTTACAAATAGAAGAATATATATATAGATATGGCTACAGGCAGAATTTACCATTGAAATAAACAAAGGTGAACACATATGTAGTACATTGTTCAAATTTATCATCTAAATGCTGTCATCTAGATCTAGATCAATAAACATTACATATATGACACAGGGCACTTTTACTTTTATATTTGATGTATTAGATAGATGTTTCAGTGCTTTTTGATTGAAGATAAATGGAAATTTCATTATGTCCCTGATGAATGGCATGTATTGGCATTTCACTTGTAATTGGTTGCTTTACTTAATTGAAGTCACATGGCTAATCAAACAGTATGTTTCACAGCTACAGCATGGTCTATCTCGACAGAATTTTCAGTTATCAATAACATCAATCTGTATATTAACTCATTCACCCCTGAAGACACATTTGAACTCTTCCAATTCATAGGTTTGAATAGTTCATTATGAAACTCTAGGGGTGAATTCATGAGTTAATGATACCTGTATAACTGTAACTATGGTCTATGCGTTGAATTTTATTCTGACATGACTTCATATGTATATATAGCATTGATAAATGATTTCCGAAAAAAGATATAAAAGTTTACCTTGCAGAATTTTTATGAAAAAATATAAAGATAACGTAAATTGTTAAACAAAAAAATCACCAACAACATTTATGTTCTGTCTCTGAGATCTAGACCACGATTTGAACCCTTGTCCCCCAATGATTAGAATATATGTATGGCACTAAATATAACTAGGGAACTGAGCTAACTAGTCAATGGTAGTACCCAGCTGGCCCCTTTAAACTATACTACCTGGGTATATAAATTTAAAATAAAATTGGAGATAATTTATGAATACATGATTTGTCAATATATTGATGGCATGTTTTAGTACAAAGGGGATTACATTTTCACTAGCCCCATGCCCACCACCAGTAGATTTTATTTCAGGGCTTGTAAAATTGTTCAATGTTACAATGAAAATATAAGTCACGCTAATGCAATTTTTTTCAATATTTGATAGGAGGCTATTACTCCAAATATGAAATTGGACATAAAGCTGAAACAAAATTTAAATTGCTGACTGATTCAAAATTGATTCTTTCTCTTGATCAATGGTCATTTCCAGATACTGTATATGATTTGTCAATATATTGAAGCAGCATGACAT